TGCTTGTCTTTGAATACTCAGCTAAAGGGCCGTCTTCAGGAAGTCTGAGTTCCCTTCCTTTGTTTACTTGAGTTTCTTGGTAAATTAGCTCCTCTAAGCCTTCACACTACTAGTGAATTTGTGTGGGTTTGAGGGTGAGTAAATGTTGCCACACCTGAGTCAATAAAGAATGAATCAGTATGGCTCTCATTGATGGGTGTGGCCCTGGTAGTTAGTTACTATGACAACTGGGAATACCAGAAGGAACTACAGAACGACAGAATTAGGGGACAGAAATGCCATCCTATGGCATTTCCATCTCCTCCTAATGATATACATTTTTTGACATCTCGGCAATGTCACACCACCCATTATTAGCTCTGGTGAAGTTCTTGGGACCCTCCTAGACACCACTCTCCCTTGCCTCTCCTGCCACTCTGACGACTCCCCTCTCAACCATGGGTCTTCCACCCAAGGCCGTTTTTGGTCCTGACTTTGCACCTTCCCCCGTCTCTCTCCAGTCAGAGAACTCATCCATGCTCAAGGGTTCCGGTGTCAGTTCTAAACAGGTGATTTCCCTTTATCCCCTGGATACCACATTTTCTCCTGACCTCGCTGCTAGACTTGACCTCTAGATTTCCATGGCCAACTAGATGTTTCCATTTGGGTGTTCTGTTGACATCTCAAAGTAAACATGCCTGAAATTGAACCTCCCAGTTTCCATTTCTCTGTCCATGGCACCAGTATTCTCTCATCCACCCAAGTTCAAAACCTGAGTCATGTTTGACGCTTCCTCCCCACTCTTCCTTTCCCAAATGCAAGTCTTGCCAACTTTCTTTGCACATCTCTTTAGCTTTTTGTCTTTCCCATTCTGTCTGTCCCAGTACCTCTGTCTTGAATACTTAATGGCTTCCTGCTTGGTCTTCCTGCCTGCAGTTTCTCCCCCTTCCCCTGTAGTCTTTCATACCTGGTCAGAAACATTCTCTAGAATGATTATTTTTTTTATCTGCTCTCTCTTCTGCTCAGAAGCCTTCAAGAGCTCTCATCACCATAGATGAGCCCAAACTGCTTGGGCCCGAGACCCTGCATGGACCCCAGCCCCTCACTGGCATCATCCCTCCCAATACGAGTAGAGGCTCTGCAGCCGCCTCCAGGACTGTCTTATTCTTGACACTTAAATGCTGCACAACCTTGTGCAAGTTCTCAACCCCCCCGTGTGTGAATTTCTTCTCTTTTTTGTTTTTTGTTTAATTTATTTATTTTTAGAGAGAGAGGAAGGGAAGGAGAAAGCATGGGAGAGAAACATCACTGTGTGGTTGCCCCTCATGAATCCCCCACTAGGGACCTGGCCCACAACCCAGGCACGCGCCCCGACTGGGAATTGAACCAGCAACCCCCTTCTTCACAGGCCCACGCTCAATCCACTGAGCTACACCAGCCAGGGCTGAATTTCTCCTTTAAATCACTTTATAAAAATTTTATAATCATTTCTAGGGTTGCTGTGAGGATTAAAGGCATTTAGAACAGTGCCAGATGCATCAGCACCGAAATGCTAGTTTTTATTGTGCTGACTTTCACAGAGTGTGTGCTGCAGTCTGCACACCTCTCCCCTGGGTGCACACGCCCTGGGTGCCTTTGCACAGCCCACTCCTCCAGTCCAGAACGCCCGTCTCTGCTGGCTCACTCTTCCTCACCCTTCAAGGGCCACTTATCAGCGGCTCCTTCCGGTAAGCAGTTGTGTGGGGCTTTCTGCCACATTGCTCAGCCTGGGCTGGGTGGAGGGGGACATGTCAGGGTATATGAAGCCAGCCATAGGCCACGCGTGGGGCATCTTCCTGGCAGCTTCATTTTACTTGAAAAGTAAGTTTATTCATTTTATGTCCACATATGTCATGGAGTAGAATGCAGAATTAACCGAAAGTTTTTAAGATCAAACACACAACGACTAAGAATATTCAGCACGGAGGTATCTTGGGCCACCCCCCAGCTGTAGTGGGTAGTCTATGTTTGTCCTGCCGCAGACGGGTCTGACAAGCAGCGACATGCTGAGCGGAAGGGGCTGGGCACTGACGAGGCAGAGGCGGTGCCAGTGCAGCCGCGGGGGCAGTCCTTGACTCAAGGCCTGTGCGGCGGGGGGTCCCTTTAACAGGTGCTGCTTTTGAGAGAATTCGTGTCCCCACCACTCCCAGTTGCCCCGAGGTAGAAACATTACATTGTCTTTTCACCTTTTGATGTGGGTAGGTCTGATCTCCCCAACACCTTCCTAAGCACCTGCAGCACAGGTGCGGGCGGGAGTGCAGGTGCAGGGTGATAGAATGGGAAGACAGACCTGGGTGTGAATTGGGCCCTGGGTTTTTTACTGGTGAGCAAGTCACTTTTCCTCTCAGCCTCAGTTTCCTCATCTGCAAAGCAAGAGTAATACCTACCTAATGAGATTGTCCCAAGGAGTCAACTAGATAAACCACGTACAGCAGATGACACGGATGGCCCTTCGTAAACGTCAGATCTGTTCTAGTCGTACCTGGCTCTCAGCAAACATCTGATTCTTGAATGTTCCCGCTCCCACTGGATCCCTCTCCTGTGCCGAGTCCCGCATCCTTGGCCTCTCTTCCTGTCACAGCGGATGTTTCTGTCTAAGGTCATCTTCTTCCTGGCTCTTCTCACCTCTACAAAGACCTCGTTCATAAAACTGCCTCCTCAGCTTCCCTCCCTATTGGCTCACTCTATTTACCATGTAATTATGCTGTACTTACTAAAACAAAAAACACAACAATAAATTAACCCCCCCCCCTTTGGTCCCACATCCCCTTCTAGTTACCACTCTGTTTCTCTTCTCCCTTCACAGTTAAAAGGTCCTGGAAGCTGGCGTGCTCCCTGTTTGCCCTTCGCCATTTCTTCTGAGCCCACCCCAGGCACACTCCCGACCCCGGTGCTTCAGGGCCTTGCTCGTCTCCAGTGACCTCTGCATTGCACGTGCAGTGTGCTGTTCTCAGGGTTCTTTTACCATGAGACCTGAAAACACCTTCTGCCCAGGCCTCCCAGGCCCTAATTTCTCCTTATTTCCCTCCAGTCTTGCAGCTCCTCAGCTTCCTTTGCTGCGTGCTCTCTTCTCCCTCCTCTGTAAGCATGGAAGGTCCCAGGGCTGTCTTTGGGCCACTTCTTGTCTCTGTCTGTATTCACCCAGGTAATCTCATTCACCCTCATGGCTTTAAATATCATTTGAAAGATGCCCAGACTTCTGTCTCAAATCCATAGCTCTCCCCAGAACTCCAGACTTGCATATCCACTGCCTGCTCCCATCCCTGCCGGGATGTGTCGCAGATGTCAAATCCAAACTCTTAATTCCCACCCCACCCTTCCCTTCCCACAATCTTTCTCATCTTCGTAATGGGAACTCTGTCCTTCCAGTTGCTCAAGCCAAAACCTTTGGCGTTATCCTTGGCTGCTTTCTCGCAAACCCCACAGCCAACTAATCAGCAAGTCCTGTCAGTCAGTTATTCCTTGGAAATATAGAAGGAATCTGGCACTTCTTACAACCACCATCTCCCACCCTGGTCCAAATCACCGCCACCTCTCACGAGGCCAACTGGAATAGCCTCCTGAGTGGTTTCGCGTCTTCTTCTCCCAACCCTAGGATCTCTTCTCCAACAACCAGAATAATGTTTTCAAAGCATGTTTGATTATGTCATTTATTGGCTTCATACCCACCAATGCCTTCCTCCGACTCAGAATAAAATCCAGATTCCTATCCTAGCCTGCAAGGCCCTGCAGGGCCTACCTGCTGCATTTCTGGCCTCATTTCCCACCACACTCCCCTTGCTCCCTCTGCTCTGGCCACACTGGCCTCCGTGCTGTTCCTTGACCAGGCTGGAAACACTGCTGCCTTGGGGAGGGTGTGCTTGTCATTCCTTCTGTCTGGAGCACCCACATAGGTGCAAGGCTCACTCCCGTACTTCCTTTAGCTCTGCTTCAAGGCCATCTGCTGGAGAGCCTTCCCTGACCAGCCTCTCAGGCACTGTCTGGCCTCTCACGCCAGTCTCGCTTACCATGGACCACCACCCGACATATTGTGTACGTGTTTGTTTTTGTCCACCTCCTCACCACTAACAACACCCTAGGGAACCTCTAGGTCCGGCACATCCAGGCTCTCAGCACATGGGCAGGACGTGGTATAGATGGGAAGAGCTTATGCACATGGACCACGTCCTGCTAGTGCTGCCAGGCAACCTTGCACAACCTTCCTGGGGTTAGTTTCCCTCCCTGTAAAATCTGCCTTGAAGGCTTTTAAGGGAGTTTAGAGATAAAACATTTGAAGTCTTTGAGGCATGATGAGTGCTCAACAAAACGGGGGCTAGAAAGACCACTTGGTCATTCTCTAGGCCTGTTTCCAAGGAGTTCATCGTGCTTCTCCACCTGCCCCAGAATGGGGGGCTGAAACAGCAAACGAAGGTGACCTCATGTGAGTACTGATTACGTTCTCCATCTCACACTGTCCCAGGGCCCCCTAAATGTTGCTGCTGGCTCCAGCCAGTTCTCTTCCATCCCCAGCACTATCCAGTTCCCTACCAAAGACCCTCAGACATCGGCCATCTCTGAGCAGGTCCTGTGGGTCAAAACCCTCCCCCAACCCTGCTTTGAATCCCCCATGTGGGAAGCAGAGGTGCTTGCTGGGAGTGAGTTTGTCTGGACTTTATGAGCCATGGACACCATGGATCTTCTGACAAAGGACCTATTTTTGTGAGGGGGAGAACACTGGGCAGGCTAGATGGTTGGTCTCAAAGGTTTTCTCCAGCTGGTCCATGTAGGCGACAAAGAGTAGTTTTCCTGTGCACCACCAGAGGGTGCCAGAGATCGTGAAGGGCTCTGGAGGACCTGTCCGTTGGGTTTCAAAGATGTCTTTCAGGTCTAAGGTTAGGCAGCGAGGTGGGTACGCGCACATTGTAAAAAAGCACACTGCTGGCTCTCTCCCACCTCCCAACTTTCTGCATGCTGCCAGCCCAAGCAGGGACACATTAAAGGACTGGAGTTTAGGCTTCTGGCCTGTGTTATTTATTGATAAGCATTAGTGAACCCCTTGTCCTGTGAGCTCCACCAGTTCTGCCCTCAGATTCCTAGCCTTAGGTGGGGATGCATCTGCCTGAGTCTGCTCAGCTAAGGCTGTGCCTAAATAGCTACCCTGTCCTCAGGATCACAGTGTTTAGGTCAGGGAGGCATGTGGCCGGCATCAGAATCCTCACGGCTGGATCCTTGCCCTCAGAGACCACCCCCGAGGCAGGAAGGGCTCCTTGGCTCTCCGAGGGGCTCCAGGGGCCCGCTGGTTAGATGGAGGGCTGAGCAGGGAGACCCCCAGATTCAGCGTCTTTCCTTCCCTGCAAGACTCTTTCCTGCCAGACGTTCTCCGCAGCAGAGCCGAGCTGAGGGACAGCAGTGGGCTCTCACTTGCGTCCAGAGGTTCTTGGGTAGCGGGCAGGAGATCTCAGGTGGTGGTACCTCAAAGCGGGTAGAGATGCCAGAGGCTGTACAAGGGGAGATGGGAGGAAGGAGAGACCAGAGAGAGTCGTTAAGTCCCTTGATCTGATTTCAGCAGCAACAGTTCCTGGCCATGGCCTATAGTTGTTGGTCATCCCCTCAGTACGAAGTAGTACCTTGGGCCTCAGTGTACCCTTCCCCCACCATTATTAGCTCAGGGATAGGAACTATTAAAGCAACAGTAATGCTGCCTACCTGGGCCAGACACCTTGTAGAACTTTCTTGCCTGCTCTGCCAGCACCTCCAAGCCAGCACCCATTTCTCCCTCAGGTCAGGGCAGCCCCCACCCCCAGGGTCAGCAGACTGGCAGTGCCTGGAACAGGCTCTGGCTCCTCCGAAAGCCCTCCCTGGCCTGTCTCTGACCTGAACTGGAAGCGGGGATCTCCGAGGTGGGTTTGCAGCACCTGACGCACTTCTGGGGGAGGCTCCAAGCCCATCTGCTCTGCCCGGTGCCAGCGCTGCAGCCTTGTGATCCCTGCCAGGGAGGGGAGAAGGCGATGGGGCCTCAGGGTGGGCGGGGAAGAGTCCAGGCTACAGAATGTGCGTGGAGGGGTGTGGAGGGACGCTCCCCAGGCTCAGAAGACAGTGCCTGAGAGGGTCAGGCAGGGGCTTGGGTTATTTCAGAGACATGTGGGTGACAGGACTGGTTCCAGCACATGGTCCAGGGACCTGATGGCTTCTCACCTGTGCAGGGCCCATACTGCCAGGCCAGGTCAAACTGCCTCAGCAACTCCAGCTCCACTTCATTGACGCTCAGGGGCTGGGTCTCTTCCTCTGCTACGACAAGCTGCTCTTCAGGCCTGCCCAGGACTGTGCCCTGCAGGGTGGGTTCCCTGCCCCTTGCCTCACAGTTGTCCCATGGCTCCTCAGCCCTCACCGTCCCTCTGCCTCTGTCTTCCGCCACCAGGCCTGGTGTAAGAGGTAGAGAACATACTTCACATCCCCTTGCATTGCCCCCATCCACCCATGTCCCATGTCCCTTGGTGTCCTCTCCTCCCACCCTCCCCACACCTCAGAGACCTAGCTCTGGTGCCAGCTTCCCCTTGCTGTGTCCAGTGGGGCTCTCCCTCCTCTTTACTACTGCGTAGGAGTCAGTGATCAGCCGCTTCCGGTCCATGGCGCCCACCCAGACAGGCGGAGAAAGGCCAGTGGTCACGAGAGAGACAGCTGCTGAGAGAGAGAGTGAGAGAGGGCTGGGGCCAGAGAGCGAGCCTGGGACCAGCAACGGGCAGACAAGATGACCCAGACGAGCGGAGAGGAAGTCCGCAGTTTCCAGAGAATGACGTCTCTCCTCTTGCCCACAAGCACGGAAACATCAAAGACCTAAGCCAATGGCAGGCTGCCTCGTAGGGGCGTGGTCTGACTCCAGCCAATAGCAGACATCACAGGCTGAGGGGGCCGGGCAGCTGCAGCAGCTGTGTCCCAGGGTAGAAGGGGTGAGGCTAGAGTGGGAGACCTGTCAAAACGCCCCAGACTGCACCACCTCCTCCTGCGCCCCCCCCCCCCCGGCCTGCAGTGAGTCTCTGGGGACTTACAGAGCGTTATCCTCAGCCTCTCACTTCCCGTTTTCCCTTCCTAGGCAAATGTTCTTTTCAGCCTCACTAATCCCCGTGGCAGGTTTGTAACTCCCCAGAGCCCAGCTGTAGCCTTCCACTCCCCACCCCCATCCTCCTTGGCACACAGAATGTTGTGGGGCACGAGGTCCGAAGAGAGTTTGGGCTAATCCAGCCCTCTTCCCTGCTCCCACCCCACCCCCACTGGCCCCAGGAGAGCTGGCTGGAGAAGCCCATGGATTTGGAAATCTCCTTTCTCACAGTCTGCGCCCAAAGATACTGCCCACCCTTAGCCCAGGCAAGCATTTGCCTTGTTGGCTCTCCTGGGGTCCCACAGCCTGCTCCCTGCCGGACCTACTAGTTAGGAAGATTCCATACTGAGCAGGAGGCCAGAGTGTGTTTGGATCCCCAGTTCTTCATAGCAAAATCTGCCAAGTCTGTAGCATACTAATGTGTGAGTGTGCGCAAAAAATACCAACAATAAACCTGACACCAAATACTGTTCTAAGCACTGTCCCACAGATTCGACTAAAATTGATGTAAAATGGTTCTTGCAAGTATGAAGTGCTGATAGTCACAGGCATTGTGGGGACCCTGTTAAACCACAGCCCCTCGGTGTTCTCCAGGAGCTCACAGGCTACAGAGGCAGGCAGATAGGACCCACAAGCTGTCCATGCAAGGAAAAAGTTCCTCACAAGCAGGAGAGGGCGGAGGGGGGGGGGTCAGAGATGGGTTGGACCACAAGACTGGCTTAGCACTGGAAGACCTCCTGGAGGAGGCAGGCTAAATAAACAGTGTCTCACAATTCTCCGCCCATGACCTTTGTCCCTGGGCTCCTGTCATTGCTGACTCACCCCTATATCCCGCCTCCCCCTCACCAACTTTCTGGCAGCAGGCAAAAGTGCTGGCCACTGGGAGTCTGGGAATGGGCACAGGGGCCAACCCTGCTCTAATCGCCCTCTAGAGATCCCATCCGGTTCGCCCTCCAGGGATGTAAGGGCCTACTCAGAGGGCTCTGCCTTCCTCCTCGTCCACTGCTCTGGAGTCTGGGTGCCCTGAGATAGGAGGAAGGTAGGCCCAAGGAAAGAGAACACTCTGGAATGTAGACCACCGAAGGGGAGGAGCAGGAGCAGGCCATGTCTTCAGGGGCCTCCTCCCACCTGGTCCTCCCCATCTGCTTCCTTGAGGAAGGCTGTGTGGAGGAGTACAAGCCCGGGGTGTGCTGCACAGAGCTGGAGGGCCCTTCCCTGCCTTATTGTTTGGGCTGGGCCTGATTGAATCCCCCCATCTGCCTTATGGACTATGCGGGGCCCACACTGAGGGAGACTGGGGCCCTGCTGTGTTGGAAGGGAAGCAGGGAGGCCCTTTCCACTAGGCTTACGAAGGGCTTAGGTGTGGCATCCAGTCAGGCACTGAGAACCCTGTGGAAGGATGGTGGGACTGACCACCCCCTCCCCAGGGAGCATTGCCACAGGTGTGTGGTACCCAACTCTTGAGCCCACAAAGCCATGAGGGAGTAGGGAGCCACGGGCGGGGCAGATCCCTCCTCATTCCTGGTCCCTCCCACCCCTGAAAGCTGATAGCCGTGAGGCCCTGCCACCGCCCAGGGAGCGTGAAATGGGGTGTGCCGCTGGGAGGCCGCCGTGGCCCCTACTGCCGCCCGAGCCTATTCCCTCCCCCTCCGGCACCCTGACCTGCTCTGTGGGCACTATCTGGGTCACCCCTGCCAGCTTCCCCCAGCTCTGCCTGGCCCACGCCGCACTAGCCTCTCCTACCCGGTCTGGAAAATGTCTCCCCTAGCCTTCGGCTTCACCCAGTGCGAGGAAAGAGGGCCGTCAGCTCTAGTGCAGGCCCCCTGAGACTGGCTTTCCAGCTGAAGCTGCCAGAACTCTCCGTAGGCAGCACTGCCCTCCTCTCCCAGTCAGAGGACCGTGGGATCGAGCTCCCAGGGCTCGAAGGAGTTGGCACCCTGGGGTGCAGAACCGTCCCTGTCCAGTTGGCACCCTTCCTGTAATTGGCATCTGGCTCCCTGAAGTGCGCTGGCAACTAGGCTGGACCTTGGCCTGCCCATCCTTGCATGTGTCTTTCTCTCTTTTACTTCCCCGATCTTGTCAGCCCTCCATCACCTTCCTTCCTGGGACCCCTACCCTACTTAGGTGGCCTTCTGGCCTATCCCCAAAGTTGCTGTCCTGAGGACTGTCACAATTCAGGCAACAGACTAGAGGGTCAGGCCAGAGGTCTGGGGGGGGGGGGGGCTGATTCTCTGTCCTTTAGGGAATTTCCTGAGGCCAGGGTCTAGGTTACTATATCAGCCCCGACCCCCAAAGGCTAGTAGCGATGGGCTTCCAGAAGTCACCCTTGGACCTTGGCCTGGGAATACTCAAGCCACTTGCTTCATAGTCAAAACCAAAATCTTGAGAAAAGAAAAGAACTGGAACAGGAGCCTAGAATCTTCCTGAGGGCTGAGGCCCACCCGCTGACTGCTCAAGGGGAAGGGGGATTAAGCCTGGCTTTGCTCAGACAATAGGGCAGGACAGGGGTGCCTCAGCATTGCACATGCGCCCTAAGAGCCTCTTCCCTCCCCCAGCTCATAGTGGAGCTTGTGGGGGAGCCAGCTAGGACTAGGAAGGTGGGGACAGGTAGAGGGAGGGAAGCAGCTGCCTGGGGCCCAGCTGGCTGTGGGGCGTTGCCGCTCTCCTCCCCTCTCCCCAGCACACCCCTTCCTCAGGCCCTCAGGCCCTGCCACCCACCCTGAGCTGGAGATTCTGGGCAGCCAGACTCACACCCCAAGCCCCCACATATTCAAATTCCCTGGGCCCCATTCCCCACTCTGTGGGCCCCAATTTCTTCAGGCAGCTCCTCCTAGTCCCTCACTACCCTCCCAAACAGCCCACCTCAAGCCGTTGCAGGTTCTCTGGCCTGTGGGCTTTAAGGGGTGGGAGTCTGGTGGAGGACACAGGTTCCCCTGGGTCTGGGTTTTTCTGCCACTGGATGTCTTTTTTGTCTTGTCCCAGCCACCCCCTCCGAACCTGTTCCCATCACCTCTCCTTCACTGTGGCTATCATCCCGCCTGTGAACTCGGAGATTTGAGAGGGGGCCCTTCTCGCCATTGCTCGCCTCGGCCACCAGGTGTCAGCCTTTGTCCAGCTGGGAGGAAGGTCTTAGTTTCAGCCCCATTGGCCCTGCCTTGGAGACGAGGGCAAGTGGAGGAGGGGGGGGGGGGTCTTCGAACTAGGGAGTTTGAGGGACCCTGAAGGTCGAGATGAGGGAAGGGCTGGACCTTTGGTTCTAAAGCTCACAGTTACTCTGACTGCCCCCACCCCCAACCCCCTGACAAGGGCTTTGTCCACTGCTGGGAAATTGGGGGAACCAAGCTGAGTCAGGGAGCTCAAGGATTGAAGTGACAAAGGCAGGGACAGTTGTGGCTCCAGAGAAGGGGGAGCTGAGAGAGAGCCACCCATCAGAGCGTTCAGCCAGGCCCGGATCACTGGCCATTGCCCTTTGGGTCAAGGGGAAACAGAGCCTCCTTTGGCCCTTCCCCATTTGGGGGGCTGGGTTTGTGGGTGAGTGTGTGTGTGTGTGTGTGTGTGTGTGTGTGTGTGTGTGTAAGATGAGCACCAGAATGAGTCTCCTGACTTACCGAGGGGCCCCAAGTCCTGGATGTTGGTCAGTCTTCGCTAAAGTGGGCATAGGAAAGGCATAACCACCTTTTGCCATCCTGCATCAGAGCCCCTTCTGTACCCACTCCTAGGCCCCTGGAAGTTGTCTCCCCCAACTGACAGTTCTCTGTCTGGATGAAGACGGGATTTCTAATCCACTCTGTGGTGCCTGGAGATGACAGAGAGGAGAGCCTTTTCTCCCCCCCTCACCCCCCACCAACACTCTTTTTAAACTTTCTGGGAACAGAAGAACTTCCAGACAGTCCCCTCTCTCCATTGACACTGCAGGGCCTCAGTAATTCCAAGTTCTTAGGGTGACCTCTCGATACCTGGGCCCCTGACCACAAGAACATGCTTTAGAGGTAGAACCTAAGATAACCAATAAAAACTCAACAACTATCCTGAAATAACTGTGATTGCAGAAGCAATGAGGAACTCACTCACAGAAAAGCCTGGTGACCTGTCAGTTACTAGGAGCCACCTGCCCCTTGGTCTACGGTACAGAAACCCAAAGGAGGGGCTTACGCCACCAGCAGCATCAGTAGGGAGCTCTTTGGGGGAGAGTTCAAGAACTCAAACTATGGAATGTCCTCTATGCCTGGGCTCTCCTCTGTGTCCACCTCCCCTGCCGTGATCCTAGGGTGTACCCTCTGCATCCTCAGCTGGAGTGAATGCCAGTGCTCCCCCTGCCCCCGCCCTTCTCAGGTCACTCACTGCTGTTTCCCTTTGCTACCTACATGCCTGCACTGTGCCTTGTGAGGCTCATGGCCATCCCACCGTATAATTTCTTCTTAAAAAAAAAACTTATAGAGAGAAGGGAAGGGAGGGAGAGAGGGAAAGAAACATCAATGTGTGGTTGCCTCTCACGCACCCCCAACTGGGGACCTGGCCTGCAACCCAGGAATGTGCCCTGACTGGGAATCAAACTGGCCACCCTTTGGTTCGCAGGCCGGTGCTCAATCCACTGAGCCACACCAACCGGGCCACAGTATAATTTCTAACACTCTAGGGTCTGTCCTGTGATTTGCTGCCATTCCCGTCTGGCCAGGCCTCAGCCTTGGGAAATGCCCTTTCTCAACTCCGCCCCCCACTGATAGGCAGCTCTGGCCTGCTAGGGATGGTAGGGCATGTCATAATCCATGTCAAAAGGGTCAGGGACTACAGACTTGTGTTTGCTGATGTCACCTGGTCCCATGTGGCTGCCCAGAAACCTTCTGATTCTCCTGTGCTGGTCTCTGATTCCACTCCTCAAGTCTCTCCATTCCCCTCCAGCTGCCACCCCTCACGCCTCAATGACATGTTTAGGTTTCTTCTGTTTGCAAACAACGAAAACAAACCAACCGAACAATCTTCCATGCTTTCGCTATCCTCTCCAGATATTCCCTTTACCACCAAACTCCTGAGGAAATATATTTACCCCTTCTGCTTCTTCTCATCTTCTCCTTGAATCTCACGATTTGATATCCGCCTCTCAGCTGCTCTTGCAAAGGTCGCCAGTGACTTCCTGATTTCCCAAAGCCGGTGGGTTTTCCCGTGTTCTTTCAGTTCTTCTGGGGCACCTGATTCTGTCAGCTGCTTCCTTAAAAAAAGAGGAGCTGCTCTCCTCTTTTGCTTTCTCATATACCAATGTGTCGACACACTTTAAATCAGTTTAAGTCAAATTATGGAGAACTTTAGTCTGTGCCCAGCATCGTGCTAAAATGCCGCAGGGATGCAAAGATGAGTACATCACAGAGCCCCCCCTTCAGACACTGCCTCCTTAAAAGGGGGTTGGACTCACTTAGCTACCCTTTGTCCTGTTCCCCTCTCAGAATGGGGTCAAATCCTACCTTCTACATCTATGCAAAAGCACGAAGTATGTTCAAGACACTGAAACACAGCAGTTATCTCAGACGCTCCCTTGTCCCCCTCCAGGGCTCACAGACCAGCAGAACCCACACCCAACTGGGAGTAATCACTCCTTCCTTGACATCCACGGTATTTCCCCTGCCTATTTCTGCACCTAATCAAATTCTACCTTGGATCCTAGCATTTCTGGAGAGGGGGAGCCTAGTCCCTTTTCCAGATTGTTTTGTTCAGTACACTAATTGAACACTGTCTTTGGGCTGGAGCGCGAGCTGAGACAGACAGATGGCAAAGTCTCCGATCTGCCCCCAGTAAACCCGCAGTAGTGTGGGACATCCCCGCTTCGCCCTGGGTTCTGTACAGCCCCCTGCCCGGGGCCTTACATATAACAGGCTGCTGCTCATCTTGCCCCTGCGTGGAGGCAGCACAGACGCCCTCTCCTGTCTGTCTTGTGAGGCAGGAGGCAGGGCCATGCCTGGGCAGATGCCTCCGCCTGCAGAGCCCGGACCCCTCAGGGTGGGCATGTTCCCTCCAACTTGGGCCAGGTGACTCAGGGACATTCAGCGGAGCCTGGCTTGCCCCGCCCACAAGCAAGTCCAATAGCTCCTGCACCTACATTCCGGCCTCTCCCTTTTCCAGTGGTTCGTGTGGGGACCTCCCAGTACACGCTGCACATGTCTGCTTTTGTTATCGTTTCGGGTAAGCTGGTCTTCTCTTCCCGGGTAGATCACAGGCTCCTGGTAAGGGCAGGAGCCACGTTAGGTGTGGACTTTTTAAAATCTTTTCTACACCGGTTAGCCTAGTAAATGGGCAGGTAATGTCTTTAAAGTATTTGTCAACCGAATGACATCACTGCCACTTGTTAACCCCTTCGCTTAGAGCACTGCCTCCAGGAGGCTCTTGTAAAATATCCACAGGTTACCTGGGGGCATTAGCCCATTAAGTGACCCAGTGGCTCTTCACCAGTGTCAAGACAGGCCATATGTCCCGAGTAATGTTTACCAATCACTGCTGCTGCAGCCAAGCATCTTAACTTCATTCTCTCATGTCCTTCCCAACATCTTATGAGGGTACTTAAAATGCCCATTTTATAGATGGGGAAACAGATGGAGAGCTTTGCAGAGCCTGTCCGAGGTCATTCTGCTCATAGATTAGGGGACTGGGGCTTGAGGTCAGGCCACCCCTTGCACAGCATCCATCCCAATCACTTGCACTCCCGTAGGAGTCGTCCTCTTTCCCACGAACCTGTGGCCCCACATCTGAGAGAAGGGAGCTGTCACAGCGGAGAACCGCACCTTGGCCGTGGTCTGTCACCTTCCCTAGCAGAGGAAGGGCACTGGGAAGGCGAGGATCACTGCTGAGGAGGGGCCCCGGGGCAGCTACGGGTTCCGGTTCTGGGGAAACCGAGGGCTGAGTGTGTAGGCCAGCTGCTTGGAGAGGGCACCAGAGGGACAGATAAGTCACTTTGCGGAGCAACAGGCCTATGAGACATTAAAATAATCCACAGAGGGGAGGCAGGCTGAGCCCAGGCTGGGAGAAGGGAGATCAACGACAGACGAGAAGGCATCTGGGGGGACTAAAGGGACATGGCATTGATGGGGACAGCTGGGCTGAGGTCTGCTGTGTACACGTCTTCCATGACAAAATGGGGAGAGCGTCTTCCCCAAGCTCTGTGCATCTCCTGAGCTAACCTTTGGATTTCCAGGCCCTCCCAGCAGGCGTGGGAACCAGGAGGAGGAGCAGGGCCAAGCAAAGGCATGCTTCTGGGGCAAGCATTTTATTTGTTAATACAAGAATAGAAATTCTGCAATAAATATAATCTAATAAATAACATCTCCAAATAAATAAATATTAATACAACAAACAGAGTCATGAGTGGTTGGGGCTGGGGTGCAGGGCCTGGGGGAGCTGCCCCCACACCCCCGAAATGCTACTGCAATGTAAACTTTCAGGAAATCCCGTGGCTGTGGCTATGACTGCCCTCCCCAGGCTGGGCAACCCACAGATACCCTGGAAAAGCGGGTGGAGAGGAGGTACCATGATGCTGGCAAGAAAATTCCAGACAAGGTCCTTCAGTGGCCACCCTGTGCCTTGGTGACCCCCGGGTTCAGTCTGTCCCTGCCCCTCTGCTTTCAGTATTACCTCCATTGCAGACCCTACCTCTCCCATTTTTAATCCCATCTCTTCCTGTTCAGACTTGCCACTGTGTTCGTTTCCTGATTGAGCGTACGGAGTTAATTGGGGGTAGGGGAGCAACACCCATCTAAGGAGTGTGGGGCAGCGCTGGGCTTCACCGGGGAAAGGCACACGCCGTGGGGCCCTCCCTGCCCTAGAGGCACACCTTCTGAAGTGCCACTTGAGGGGCTCGCTGGGCACTGGCAGGCGGTGGGCAGGAAGCAGGCCGCTGGGAGAGCCTGCACACCGACCTGGACCGCTGCAGGCTCCCTTGAGCATTGCTTCCTGTAGAAATGGGATGGGACAGGGCCTATTGCACCTCTTCCCCAGACCTGCAGAACTTTGGGAAGTGGGGAGGGGATGGGCCTTATTGCATCACACCCTATCCAAGTCCGGAAGGGCCAGAGGCTTACAGCTTCTGTGTCCTGGCTCAACAGGTGTTGGCATACAGGTTTCTCCCTCCCAGAGTGGGAGCAGGGTTGGAAGGGGAGGGGAAGAGGAGGTGGTGAAGGTCAAAGATCAGAAGCCATGGGCCTCCAGGTGCAGGGTGACCGCAGCTGCTGGGGGCTGCATCTTCTTCTTGAGCCGGTTGAAGTCCTTGGCTGAGCGCCACAGCCAGGTCTGCAGTTCCTTCAGCAACCAGAAATCGTCCATCTTCTGGAGGAAGTCACTGTGGGCAGGGCCAGGGGCCCAGGCGGGCTCAGCACCAGGCAGAGGCTGTGGTAGCGGGTAGCCCAGGGCTGCCATGACACCCGCAATGCTGCCCAGCAGGCCCTGGAGGCTGGTGCAGAAGTGGGCCAGGCTGCGGCGCAGCTCAGCGGCAGCAGCCTGGCGGTTGAGGCCGCGCAAGTGGCACAGAAGGTGGCTGTAGGCCTCGTAGTTCTGGGTCAGCCGCAGTTTGTCATTGAGGCTTCGCCACACTTCCAAGTTGACAGTGGCCCTGGGCAGAGTCTCTGCCCCCAGCCGAGGTGGGTTGAAGTCAGGCTCGTTGAAAGGGGGGCCCAGGTAGTTCAGCTGTGGAAAGGAGAGGGCGATGGGGAAGGAGGAGGGCGAAGCAGCCAGCTTGCTGCCACCAGGAGATACCTGTCCCCTAAGCTTCTACTTCCTGTGTCCCCTGACACTGGCCCCACCTCTACACCAGGCCTCTGTGTTCACAGGCCAACCCTAAGTTTCTCCATGAATGTCATTTGCGTGGAGGTGATTGTTGAAGCAATGAGAAGGTGAGAAGCTCTCCTGTGGAGGGGTGCAGAATGAGAAAAACTGAGCAGCAGATACTCAGGGAGAGCTCACCGACTGGTTGGGCGTGCAGGCCTTCAGAGGGCACCCACCCACCGGAGAGGCAGGGCAGAAGAAGAAGAGGAGCCATGGGGACCCAGGAGGCCAGGCTGCAGAGGTAGGAGATGGACCAGGAGAATGCAGAGCCAAGAAGAGGAGTTCAGGAAGGCAGCAGTGCTCAACAGTGTGGCTGTAAAACAGAGAGCAAGGAGAATGAGCCTTAGGAAGTGCTGCTGGGTTTGGCAAGGACGTGCCTGACAACCTCGGAGAGAACCGTTTCAGTAGCCTGGAAGCCAGATCGCAGGGGGTTAAGGAGTGAGTGGGTGGAGAGGAAGTGGAGGCAGAGGGTGTAGACCACTCCTTCAGAGAAATTTGGCAGGGAAAGCCAGGAGAGAAAAAGGGTCGGGAACTAGAGGGGGTAGCAGAGTGAAGCAGAGGTTTTCTGGACAGGAAAAGCAGGTCAGAAGGCAGAGGGGCCTGTGGGCACTGGAGTTCCATTTGCCTCTTGACATGCCCAGTCCCACCAGCTGAAGGGCTGTGGACGGAAGGGACACACTAACCCCCAAGGAAGGGCTCAGCCCATGGCAGTAGGACTGCAGTAAGAAGAAACTGAGGCAGTCTCATGAGTCAGGCTGGAGGAAGGGTATGGAAGTCAGTCTAGGGAAGAGGACAGAGCCCTGCCAATCCCCAGGAGAGAAGCCTGGGGCCCAGGGAAAGGGCTGAGGGAGACGGCGCCGCGGGGAGAGAAAGGGAGAAGAGAGGGGCGAGGCTTGGGATAGGCAAGGGCCCAGGGGGAGGTTCACACGCTGACAAGCACAGAGACAAACTAATTTCCTCGGTGTATCCTGGGGCTGGAGCCAGCTCCCCCGCCACCCTCCTCCCCTTTCTTTCCCTGGCTTCAGAGTAGGGTCTGGGATGTGGAGGAGGAACACGGGAAGAGGGGGCCAGTTCCCCATGGTCCTTGCTAACTCTGACCCTCCTTCCTCCTCTCCTGGGTTCTCTGAACACCTCTGGACTGCCCCCAAATTCTTATGGCAGAACTTCAATGCACACCCTGAGCCCCCTGCCACTGCTGGCCTGGGTTCCCTGCAGCGCCCTTTCCTTAAGTCCCCCCTAGGAGGCCCAGTTAGGACGGGAGAGGCAGACAGAAGGGAGGCCCATGGGTCCAGAGCAGCAGGGCCCCAGGTCTGGGGCAGAGGCGAGCTGGAACACAGGCATGGGAGGTGGGGCCCCTCCATCCCCACCCAGCCCCACCCGTGCAAGAGACACCACAACACGGTGTAAACAGAGGAGACTTCCCCGGCCCCCAGGGGGAGGCGGGCGGCTGGGCAGTCAGCCAGTGGGGCAATGGGCCAAGGCGGGTGCGAGGCCTGCCCACATGCCTAGTCCTGGGGCCTGGGATGGGGAGGAGGGGGCACCCTAGAGGGAAGGGCAAGAGATATGCCAGATACAGAGACTGTTTAGAGCCACAGGTCCCTTCCTCATCACCCTACATTCATCAGGACCCCTCCACCACTCTGTCTCTCTTCCCCCAACTCCTCTTCTCATTCTTCACCCAATTCCTAGACCCCTAAGTTGCCCTAGATACTCACGTAGGTCCCAGCCAAGGTGCGGAGTTGGTGCTCCAGGTATCGGGTGAGGTCATAGGTTTTCTGGATGGAGGAACCAGGCCCTGGGTCCCCTGTGCGATTGAGGGCTGGCACTGCAGGGAGGTGCCAGAGCACGGTGCACAGGCAAGCTATCATCCCCCACGAGTCCCCTGTGGACAGGATGGGCAAGAAGCATGAGGGCGGGTCTGGCCTTTTAGAGGAAGCAGCTGGCAGCCCCTCAGGTGTCTGTCCTCACCTTGGGATGGGAGGGAGGGGTGAGGGTGGGACGCCAGATGGGAGGCAGGGGGGATGGAGGAGAGGAGCATTCCTGGCCTGAGAAAGTGTGTGTGTGTGTAGGCATGTATGTTATACGTGTTATGCCAGTAGATACTGGAGAGTATATTTGTGGGTCAACTAACACTCGCTGTATGTGTGCCAACACGTAGGTGTGTGTACACGGAGGGCCAGGCCTAGGAACCCAGATCAGCATTCCCGAGTTCCAGGTGTACCTCAGCCTCCTCTCCGCGTCCCACTGCAGCTCGGGGGAGCCGAGGGGTGGGAGACAGCACGTGTCAGAGCTGCCAGCTGCGAGCAGTCAGCCCTGGGAGGGATGCAACAGAGAGAGGCTGCCGCCCGAGAACGAGCAAACAAGTCCCGGTCGAGCTGTAGGAGGCCAGGTACAGGGTCAGAACACTGGGGTCAGGCTGAAGGACACAGGGCTGGCTCATGTGGTCAGTGGTGTGGGAACATTCTAGGCTATGGTCCCTGGTGTGGAAGTATAGGGTGGGATAGAACGGTCACTCTCAGGGATGGGCGGTAGTGTGGAAGTTTGCCCCATTCTTATCTAAGGGCTTTAGGTGGGAAAAGTTTGACCTGAAGGAGGCTTTTGGTCAGCCTGCAGGGGAGAGAGAGAGAGGGAGGGAGAGATGGAAGGAAGAAGGAGAGAGAACAATGTATTCGATGAACTGGGCTTGTCAGCTGATAGTGCTGGAGAGTTTGGGCACCTCGGGAGGCCATAGGCCAGGGGTCAGCGCCGTGAGAACAGACATAGGCAGTTGGGAAACACGATTTTCCCAGCTCTTAGGTGATATCCAAGGTCAAGAGCACTTGGCCAGGATTCAGTGGGCATTGGGACAGGGTAAAGGCCATTAGAATTAGGATGGGGTAAGGCTGTAACTGGCATTGGGCATAGGTTAGCTTTAAGGACTGGGTTACTTTTAAAGTTCCAGGTTAATTTATTGGGATTTGGCTGAGAGAGTGTGGTTGAGGTTTGGGTCCAGCTGGGGGATGTGGTTAGGTTTGGGCAGGCAGAGGGTTGGCTGGGACAGAGGTTTGCGAATGTGTCGATTCAGATTTCAGATGGGCTGGTGCCATGCCTTAAGAGTAGGCTGGTTTGAACTTTGAGCTTGGGTAGGTGTGAGATCATGAGTGTTCTTTTTCTTCTAAGTTATATTTAATTTTTTAAACTTATTGATGAGAGAGAGAGAGAGATTGGTTTGTTGTTCCACCTATTTATACATTCATTGGTTGATTCTCGTATGTGCCCTGACCTGGGATCAAACCCTCACCCTTGGCATATCAGGACAATGCTCTAACCCACTGGGCTACCCGGCCAGGGCCTCTGATTTGTATTTTATACTTTCAGATTTTCTGCACTGACATATGTTGTTTTGATATAAATAATTTGGATGTGGGTTGAATAGTTTAAATGTACTTAGAGTTAGGATAGGCTCGGAGTTAAGACTAGGGTACGTACACAGTCATCATGCTGGATCGGGGTTTAGAGAGGGTAAAACTTGGAAGGATTCAGGATTCAAATTGCACAGAACATCTCTTACAGCGTCGGGCTCAGCTGGGGACTTCTGAAGTGGTCGGTCTCTACTCTTTCAGATGCTCGGCTGGCTGGCTTTACTGATGGAGCGTGGGAGTGGGGGTCCTGCTAGTCTCAGGAGCCCTGCCCCCTTGGGTGACGGGCTCGTGGTCTGAGAGGAGGGTGCGCATGCGCCCACACACACACACACACACACACACACACGTGTGTTTTAGGGCAGAGAGCCACACCAGGCACATGGCTGCTTCCTGAGGAGACAGGCTCCCCTTTTCCTCTTCCCCGTGGGCAGCCTGCACCTTCCCATCTGAACATTCCTTCCCTGTTCTTTCCATCTGAGCTCTTGCTGACTCTCTGAGTTCCTTTCTAGTTCCTATTCTTCACATCCCAAGACAACTCCAGGCCCTTCTCCTCTGCATGAAGCCTTGGGCTACCCTTAGCCTGCCTATCTGGCAGAGTCACCCCCAAGTTTCTACTTGGGGGGCGGGCTGGTTGGTTCTGGAGTTTGGAGACCTGCTGAGGTGGGTAGCAGCATGACAGCCATGCCACAGATTCAGGACGGAGTCTGGCCTGGCTGGCAGTTAGTGAGGAAGCCAAGGGTCCTGGCTGAGGCGGGAACTGTGGAGCTGGCCTTGCCTCTTTACCCCTCCCTCCACCACCACCACTTTGGGCAGCCCTGTTAGACAGGAGTTCTAGGACAGGGCTCTGCTTATCCCACAACCAGGGAGGGGCATCAGGAACCCCACTACGGTCCTGTTTTCTCCCTCCCCTTCTGGGCCCTGTGGGACGTCCCTGGGGAGCACTGGCTCCCCACACAGGGACAGCAGGGGAAGAGGGGGAGAAGCTTTTGGATAAACAAGAGCTAAGTCATCTGGGCAGAAAAACGGCTCATGAAATTAACCAGACGAGGCCGGTGTTTCCAGGAATATTTCAGTTCTGAGGTAACTGTCACTGCAGGCTGGGGGGGGGCAGGGGAGAGAGCAGAAGGATCCAACTGACTGACCCATGGAGAGAACCAGAAAGAGGGAAGGAGTCTCAGAAATCCAGAGGGAGAAGAGGCTAGGAGAGGAGAAAGGGAACTGGATAGGGCTCTGTCCTCGGCTACGGTGGCTTTCACTCTGGGCAAAATGTTCCCATGTCTCAGGCAGCAAAACCGACAGCATCCCCGGCAGAGAACACCTGTGGTTTAGCTGTAACTAGCGAGCAGCCTGCCGGTGTCCCTGGGAGGGCGAGTGCAGGGGGCACCCTGGAGCTCTCGTCCACCCCTCTCCTCTCCAGGCTTCGTGGTGTGCAGGTGGACCTAGCCACTGCGGGCTGTGTCCTGGGCCCCCTCTCCCAGTCCTGGCTCCCACCCAGCGCACCCCCCCCCCCAGCTCCAGCTCTGCCTCTGGCTGCTGCCCACTGATTGTTTACATCCCGTCTTCCCCTGTGTTTATAAATCCGGCTGAGCACGTGAGGAGCTAATGAGTGCAGCTCACGTTTCCTGCTACAGCCCCCTCACCCCCCATCCTGGCCCCCCGCCTGGGCTAGCCCCTAATTCCATCCAGATCCCTGGGCCCTGGTTCCCAGGGCCCCCCCTCATGAACACTCCCGCACGCACGTGTGTGCACATGCACATACACTCAGCCCACGCAAGTGCATGGGCACCCTGACACGCTGCACAGGCAGGCACACTCGTGTATGGACGTCTTCAGCCAGCTGCCCCTCAGTCCCTAGCTTATGTCCCCCAGGCTGAGCTCATCCAGTGAGGGAGGGGTGCTCAGCGGTACAGATGTGGCAGGAAGGTCAGTGTGGGCAGGACAAGCCAGCCGGAGGCTCTGCACGTGGGGCTGGTGGCTACGAGCTATCAGCAGAAAGCACAGGAGCCGGGGAGGCATCAAAAAGCTCCAGAAGTGTTGGGCGGAATGTGGGAGCCAGAAGGGAAAGCTCTGCCCTCAGGCCAGACCGGGACAGAGTCCTGGTGCCATTGGAGGGGGCTGTTGGGGGGAATTGGGGAAATGAAGCAGTTTTGGGGGGTGGTGTCTACCGTGATGTGAGATCCAGCCAGTGAAACTGTAAGGAAGGGCTTTGGGGGAGCTTCCTAACCTGCCTTCCCAGGGGAAAGCCCACAGAATCAGCAGGGCTTCCTTTTCCTCTGGGCTGCCTGGCTACTGTCCCCTCCTCGGTTCCCCAGCCCCCAGGCTCCTGAGAGGTGGCTTAGTGAGTGGGTACGCAGGGGCCCCCGGACACCAGGAGACCTTGCTTTGCCACCCAGCCATCAGGTGATGGGCTTGCATGAGGGGGACACTGAAGTCCCTCAGCAGAGCTGCACGGGGCTCTGTTTCTGCGGCCTCTTCAACAGCCCCTCCCTGTCCTTCTCTGCCGCCTGAACCACAGGGGAAACTGAGGCCTGTGGAAGCAGCAGCCAGGCAGGCCAGCCGCCTTGTCCTGTGAGGTCAGTGTGGGCAAAGGAGTCGGGCGCTCGTTGGAGTGAGAGGGTTCTGGACAGTGCTGCATGGGGACTCAGGGTGCTCAGGGAGAGCTGGAGCCGGGGCAGCTGGGCCACCTGCAGAAAGCAAGGCAGTGGGAGAGGTGAGGGAACAATCGGGGTGTTATCCAAAAGGCCAGGGAGGGGTTGGGAAGGACCGCAGGAGCCAGAGTGTGAACAAGCAGGTGGGATTGTGGGGAGGAATGTGAAGTGTCACCAGCAGACTAGCTGGTGCGGGCAGGGTGGCCTGCAGAAGTGCGGCTGGGGCAGCAGTGCAGGCTCTGTGGGGCGGGAGAGGGAGCCATGACACCAGTCAGGAGGAGAGGCTTCTGGGGCTGCTGGGTGACAGCCGCTGCCATCCCTGTCTTGTGCCCTGGTGGCTCCAGGGCAGTGAGCGTGTCTGAGCCAGTGGTGGGCGGTCTGGTGGGTCAGGGCAGCGGGCCCCGTGCCCCGCGGGGTGGGGGTGATGTGTGCTTGGGAGCCCAGGAGGAGTCTGTGGGTCCACTGAAAGCACGGAGACGTCCGCCCGGTCCGACACAGAGCGCGCCGGACAGGGCGGCGTGGCCAGGGCCCCCGCCCACGGCCTCTCTCCAAGGCTCGGGGGCGGGGGCGGAGGGGGGTCCTGCCTAGGCGACCGCCGGCCTCCTCTCTGCTCCCGGCAGCCCCCTCCTACCCTAAGGGGGAGGGCCAGGCCGGGCGCAAGGACACTGGGGCCGGGTCCTCTGGGATTGGGGGTCCCTGGGGAGGGCTCCTGGAGCGCCTTGTGCAGCTGCTGGGAAGGAAGGCGGGGAGAGCGGAGA